CGAAGAGCACAGACCATCTGCAGATGCCTCCTCAGCCTGACAAAGGGTGTTTGTTCCTGAAAGCTTGCTAAGAAAGCTTGCTAATTTTTCTAACTATTTGAGTTGGTTTCATAAAAGATATCAGATTTACCTAAAGAACCTTGTCCGCTAAAATACATAGGCCATCTTTGTGGCCTGTTTTTATAGCACCATAATTAAACTTATAGCATGCCCCATCCCAAGACTGACAATCAGTTGCTTGTCCTCATTGGGACAGGACTTGGCATCAGAATCAGGACCAGGACAGCCCCAGTCCTGATGCTGAAAATGGGCATTTGGAGGAACAGGTTGCAATGTGCCCCAGTAGGGGGTTGTGGGGAAAGGCATTTAAAAATGCTGGGTTGGAAGGAGCCATGGGAAACTAGTCTAAAAACTATATATTTTTGAACACCAGGGCTGTCCCATGGCTAGGATGCCCCTGGCTCCTGATTGATTCCTACTTGCAGCACTTGCAGAGTCCATACCCACAGTCCCACATATAGGACTGAGGCCTTTGGATTTGAAGTTGTGGCACAGGGGGAACTAGACTTACTCCCCTTGGTGCTGCAGTTACAAAGCTGTCTTCCCGTCTGTGGGTATCCAGCTTTCAACTTGACAGAGCAGGGAGAGCTTGGGATCCTGATCACAGTGAGGAACATGACAGGTTTTCCAAAAGAGACAAGCACACAAATGGAAAACCCAAATGACAGATTTCTGCTCTTATCACAAATAAAATTGATGATGTTATAAAAATCAATAGAAAAGGTATTTCTAACAAAATAAGGGCTTGTGAGTTTAGAACCAGCTTGTGTATTTAGGGCAGCCCAGAGGCTTCTGTAAATTATGCCTGGACTGGGTCTAATGGAGAAGTAGATTGAGAATTACAGACCTACCACTGGTTGCTTTGAAGTTATCTCTCTTCTAGCTTCACAGCTGAGAACACTAATGTATGTTTCTTGTAAGGCAGCTAGCATATTTCTATGCACTGTAAAAATAATATATTGCAATATTCTCAGGCTATAAAGAAGACAGTTAAATCTGATACCTGCCGCAAATGACATGTGCCATGACCTTCAATCCTTGAGATTTTGTAGAAGACTATAATATATTCAGTTTAGCCCAGTTACATGATTGGAGTGCTAGGAGTGCTCACCACCTGGCCTTTATGTGGTTGAACAGTATAAATGAGGAACTCTTCTGCCTCATACCTTGAATGGGACAGATGAATGTTGACTGGAATTCCTGACGGCACTAAATTCAAAGTAAGTAAGGAGGATCCAATAGCTAAGACTTAGTAGAGCTGGATGTCTCCATAGGGGAAAGTGATGGTGAACATATTGACGATAATAAAGGTGTTTGTCCTTCTGAGCAGGAAAAGTGGGATGTATTCAATCTCCTTCAGAATACAACCCAGTGTTGCTTCTTTCTAGGATACCTCTGTCGCATAGGAGTGTTGCATGAGAGTCACTGAACAGTCTTTGTTACTAAGTACTCCTATGTATCACAGATTTTAAATCAGTTCTGTCTCAGCTGGAAATATGTACATGAGCATCCTGGCATATGAAACCCAGCACTCTTAAGAAACAGTGTTTCAGTTCCAAATGCTGCTGGCATCAGGTTCAATGATCTAACCGCTGCACATGCTGTTGCTTGCATATACACGAACTTATTCATTGCAGCAGTTATTTTGTGAGGCTAGGACTATGTGGAAGGAACACTTGATAAGACTATTTCTGTGTAGAAAGCAAATAGGATTTGATTCCTCCTAATTAGGAGGGAAATTTTAATTCTTTTTAAGTACTAAAAAAAGAAAGGAAATGTTAAAAATAAGTTAATTTGGAGGCAAGGGTCCCTCCGACTTAAAATTTCCTTAAAGTATTGTAAAAGTTTATATTGTATTATTTGTTCCAGTTTTATTTTTAAGCAAAAGAAAAAAAGTCTTGATATCAAGACTTCAAAATTTAGCATATTGTATTGACAGCATTTAATATAGATTTGCTATGTCCTGTTTTCTCCTCTCCTGCTACATATATCTAACCCTGACCGCAGCCTCCTGCTTGTGCATTAAGATATCCTCAAAGGAAAGATGAAAAAGGGTTATTTTCTGTCCTTCAAATACTACTCACTGGGCGTGTCTACACATGAAATTAATGTGAATGAATAAACCCCAGTGCACACTGTGCTGGAACTTATTGCTCCCAGGTGCTGTGTCTTCACATACACCCATGACCACAGCATGTTGAGCTGGGTCAGCAGCCCTGGCTGGCAATAAGCCCCACGGGTCAGCCTGCCAGTCTGACATTGCTTCCACCTGGCTCAACATGCTGTGAAGGGGCTGGCTGGGGCACAAGAGTGCTCCAGTGTGGGGCTAGCCAACAGGCAACCCTATACTAAAGCACCCTCATGCTCCAGCCAGCCCCGTCAGCATCTACATGTCCGTTTCTGCACGCTAAAGAATACCGCTGCAGGACAGTATTTGCATTTACAAGAACTAACATGCAGCAGAGTTAATTAGTTTCCTGCGGCCTAATAGAGCCACACATGTAGACGCTGAGACATTGAGACTTTACTCTGCAGTAAACATCTCATGTCGGTGTGCTTGCTATGGGTGCAATTCATTTGTGGCACAGATAGCTGGTGGTTCATATGGTTCAGCACTGTCTCTACAATGAGGTCTGAGATGAGGAAGGACCAGATTTCACTACAGAATCCATATTTATGCAAGCAGGGCAAGTCAACTGCCCTAGTTAATTAAGTGGTTCTCAAATGGGGTGCCAACAGACATTTTCTGGGTTGCTACAGAATAAGTGTGGGATCTACAGCCACTGCCACCACCCACAACTGCCATGTGCCTGATGCACAGCTAGACAGGGAAGGGCTGTGGCCCAAGCACATACTTCTGCCTCTATTCGGATTAGATGATAAGCTAAAGAAGGCAGGAGTTCCCTCTCTTGACAGAAACAGAGGTATTCAGGCCATATGGAACTGTCCCACACACCTGTTTCTGGGAGGAGCATGGGGGGGACAATGCCAGAAAGGGCTGTGGCAAAAGTGAGCTCTCCTGTCTTCTTTATGCTTATCAGATAACCCTAATAGAGGTAGGAAAATATGCATGTGTCACAACTCTTTTCAATCTGCTTGTGTATGAATGTGCTGGGCATTTTTACCTAATGGTGACAATAGCAGCATCACCCCACTGAGAACCACTGACATAACATGGGGTAGCAGAACAATGATTTTCAATGGGGATGACACCAAATTCAAAAAAGTTATGGAGTGGTGCCCTGCATCTAAAATGGTCCCTTCCCTTCTCATGTCCTTGTGATAAGGTATTTAGCAGTATTCATAGATTTGTTGGAATCTGACAGACTGTGCCATGAACACTTCTGCTGTGGCTTCAAAGCTGAAACCACTGGGCTGCTAACCATGTGCCTGAGCACCCACACTGCCCCAGCCTGCCATCTGAAATAGTTGAGGACCATTGAGTTAACTACACGGAGAGAGATATGCTGTAATTATGGACTGTGGACACCAGTGTAGAGTTGGATTTGACTGCTCTAACCTGAATGGTACTCACATGCTTCTTTTAAGAATAAAGGAAAGATGGCTTTCACAGACTTTGCAAAGAAGTTATAAGAAAAAGAAGGATGATAGCTCAAATGTAGGGTTTATCAGTTTTGACAGTGTTCCTCTGAATGTAAAGAAGATAAGAAAACACAAAAGACCTGGTGTTAACCTTTTCAAAGATGAATAAATCATGGAAATCTAACCATCCTGGGACAATAATCTCTATTCACAAGTAGGCAATAGAAGGAGCCACTGTTTGACCTACTGACATTCTGAGTAGTAAGCTTTACAGTATCAGTTTTCTGAAACTGAATAAAGCACTTTTTTCTGGAATTTACTAAAAAAGAGGAATTCCACTCTCTGAAATTTTGGATCTCTTAGTTTAGGTATAGGTACTAGATTTGCATATTTACAATAAAATCTTCCTCAGATATTGAAACTATATATTTCTACATATAGGATTAAACCACTGAAGAAACAGAAACATTTTCATTCGCTTAATTAATGTCTGGATTTCATTCATAACATCTTATCTTCCTGTCACGTTGATATAAATGAAGAGGAATGCCAGTTATATCAGTAAGTTATAGTAGTAGGGCAGAGTAGTGGAAAAGAGACTCAGTTCTACAGTATTTCTATTTTGGAAATTCAGTACCTGTATCTCTTTAAATTTCAGAATTCCTCCATGTATATCACTTGGTAAGTACCTTATACAGACCTATTTTACAGACAGATCTTACATTGCGAATATTGTGTCATAGCCAAGATTATATTTAAAATCACCAACACTTCATGGCAAGGGTGAGTCAAGAAGGCCTTTCTCTAGACCCTTTCCCAAGATGGAAACGTTTCCCACTGCTTTTTCTGTGAAAGTGTTTTTCTTCCTATTCTGGTAAGAGAGATTCAGATAAATATTGGAAGAGATTCATACCAAAGGAGAAATCTAAACAACAGCAGAAGCACTTTGAAATCACCAACAATTAAAGGCTAACTGTTGGTGTGAACATGTGTAGTTCCATTAAATTCAGTGGAGTTTTGCCCATTACAGCAGCAGAAAAAAATGACTGAAATCCTGATCCCATGAAAGTCAATGGCAAAAGTCCTATTTGATTTCAATTAAGTCAATGATTTCTCCCAATTTACTTACTATTAATAAAGTTTCTCTAAGTTTAATTTCATCATTCATCTCTTTTGCAATAACTAATCTACAGTGAAAAAAGCACGGATGAGGTCTATAGGAAATGGGTATTTTGAAATGCAAAGAGGTCAGACTAATGAATAAATATCTTAAGGACTGCTGTCCCAATTTATTCATGAAAACAGCTATGCAATGAAGAACAAATTAGTTTCTTAGTGCCTCATCTGTAGTGGATTTTTGCTATGCCACATGTGAAGTAAGAGTCAGTAATACTTACTTATTTCTCTTGATTTTGGTGCTGTGCTCATCATTTACATCCTCTGGACAAGAACTATCACTCTTATCTGCTAAAAAAGACATAAATTAAAATTAGTAGATGTTTAGACTATTTAAATAGAAATAAAAACCACCAAACTCCTGTTTCACTTGTCTTTTTGCACTGATTCCTGCATAAAATACTAATCCCTACTATTTTTGTATTAAAATATACTTACAAGTGTTCTCTTCAAAACTAAAAGTGATAAAAACTAACTTTTGGGGGGCTTGAAGGGGTGCTCACTTTAAATTTTTGATGTGATTTTGTTTTACATTTTACTGTCCCTGTTTCACATCTGATTGATACAAAATGGAAAATATGGCCATAAAGATGCTTGTGGAGCATTATTTCAGTCTTGACAAGCTGAATGATTTTAGACTGCTCACTTGTATTTGGAACTGTTTTTCTTCTTTTTGTGTTTCTCATTCCTATAATACTAAAACGTAATGTTGCTTTCTCATTACATCTGACCCACTGTATAGGAATGGAAGCAAAGTTATCCAGATAGTATAGATTCCTAAACTCACAATGTAACAAAAAAAGAAAATATATCACTCCTATTTGGCTTGGACACTTCCATATAGTAGTTTAAAATGAGTTTGTTAATCATAAAGAGAAGTTTATGAAGATGACACCTATATCTGCAGTTTTGAAGAATTTCATGCTATTTCCATGTATACAAAATACAATTTTCAACATAACAGTGCTCTGAATAAGAATGAACTGCTGCTAGCATTCACTTCAGTTTAATACCTATTTTGATTTTCAGTGTTCTAAGTATTTAACCATGGTTGCAGTAAAAACAGATTTTCAGAGGTAAGAGAGATGGAAGGAGTCAGCGCCTTATGTAAACCCATGAAACCCTGCCCCATTTGCAATCCACTGCAATATTCTAATTGGTTTTAATGGAATTAGGATTTCACTTCTAGGCTAGGGACAGGTATTCAAAACGCCTGAGCCTGAATTGATTCAGTCTTTGCAGGTTAGTCCAACATGGCTAGGCTAAATCAGTTTTGTAACCAGACAGACATCCCAGAAATGCAGGCATATGCCTACAATGGCTCAGGCTAGAAGCTGGTGGGGGGCTAAAGCAGCCCTCCCTTCCTTCCACAGTAATATGTATTATTAAGTTGTTTTAAATTCCCTAGTGCTTTTACTAAATACTTAACATACATTGAAGGTCGAATTCTCTTTTCACTGAAACCAAAGAAAATTTGGCCATTTCATTCAAAGGGTGGAGAATATGGTCTTAGATTCTTTCTTTCCCCTTGCTTTAAGGAATCATGAATTAATGATATGTCAGCAAAGTGTATAATATTTATATTAAGAAACAATAATCCAACATCAATACAGAAAAGAGAATAATGGGGGGTGGGAATGCAACAGCTGAAAAAAACTCTGCGATGAAATATCACAATATCTGAAGATTAAAGGTAGCAGCAGAGAACATACCATAAAGAAGGAACTATACACCAAGTTAAAATGATTTAACTTTCTTTTAACATGGTATGCATTAAGGGTAAGTAGAAGTTAATGGCAACAAAAAACCCAGACTCCTTTATAAAATTATTATAATGAATCAGTGCATTTTGAATATACTAATTAATTGTGTTATCACTAGCTATACGGTATAGTCTGCCAGGTCTCCACAGCTACTAAATTATTCTATAGAAAAACCTACAGAGAAAGCAATTTGAAGTCCTAGAAGATAGAGGACAGTAATCCTGTCTTGATATTATAAAGTCATTAATCAGGAGCTATTCACCCTGATGAGACAGCAATGATCATAACTTTAATAAATTCTTAAGATAGTATTATGAAAACTTTCAAAGCCGAGTACTTGATGTTGTTCTGAAAGACAATTCAGGTTAAAAATGACCTGAGTTTCAGGGCTGATTGGGCAAGTACTGTCCTACTTTTACAGAATGGTGGAAGTAGTAAAAAAGCCATGCTCAGCAGGCAGCAAGCCCAAATAAAAATCAATTGAGTCTTATCTGAGTTAAGCTTCAACAAGTTAGCAGGCATCGAAAACTGATCATCTATAAAGCACTTTATTACACCATAGATAGCTCTCTCAAAGTTGACTAGGAGATATACTCTGTGATACACTTGACAGTTATTTGTCTCAATGTGAGAAAATGTTTCTTGAACAAAGAACCAGGAAAAGCAAGTGGCAAGATTAGAAGTCTAGTTGGTAGTAGTAAGATTCTTCAATTCTATATCTCAGCAGGGCCAAAAAAATATGTATCAGTGACAATGAATGAGTGATTTTCTGAAAGTATTCAAGGTTTAACTTAAATATCTACTGAGAAAAGATATAA